AGGTGTGCAATGGCTATAAAAATGCTATGCAAAATAAATTTGAATATTAATTAATTGTTTATACTTACGAGATAAACATAGTAACTTTTTTTTTTAATGGAAACCTACCACATTTTTTTTTAGACAACGAGCTTGTTACAAGAATTGTTGCCATGTAATTTTTTTTTTCTAAACATCACACTTTTTTGTTAAAAAAATGTTTGACAAGAATTAAAGAATTTTTTTTGAGTAAACTACCAGTTTTTTTTGAAAAAAAAACGTTTAAATTATTTTATTCTTTTTATTAATTTATTTTTATGAGTGCAGTGCGCTAATAGTTTTGAAGTTTGAGCTCTTTTGGAGTGGTAGAAAGTGTATTTTTTTAGTTTTCTTGGGATTTGTGTACTAAATTTTGAAAATTTGTTTGTGTCAAAAAATCAAACCATTTCAATATTCTTTTTTTAATTTTTTGTATGTCTACTACTGTTTCAAAATATATCACCTAATTTACCAAGATAAATCAAATATTTTTTAAAATCGATATAATTTTTAAAACTTCCGATTAACATTTTTTGTATTAAAGAATTTTTCTAATTTTTTTTTCGAAAACTGTCATTAAATGTTGATATTTTCGCTAAATTCTCAGAATGCGAAAGGACTCTACTCATTAATTAGTAAGTGATTAAAATAAAACTCAATTCTAGTACGCAAATCGTCATGTTTCAACTCCCTTAATAAGAATTAATTGAGTTTTATTTTAATTAGTTACTAATTAATGAGTAGAGTCATTTCGCATTCTGAGAATTTAGCGAAAATATCAACATTTAATGACAGTTTTCGAAAAAAAAATTAGAAAAATTCTTTAATACAAAAAATGTTAATCGGAAGTTTTAAAAATTATATCGATTTTAAAAAATATTTGATTTATCTTGGTAAATTAGGTGATATATTTTGAAACAGTAGTAGACATACAAAAAATTAAAAAAAGAATATTGAAATGGTTTGATTTTTTGACACAAACAAATTTTCAAAATTTAGTACACAAATCCCAAGAAAACTAAAAAAATACACTTTCTACCACTCCAAAAGAGCTCAAACTTCAAAACTATTAGCGCACTGCACTCATAAAAATAAATTAATAAAAAGAATAAAATAATTTAAACGTTTTTTTTTCAAAAAAAACTGGTAGTTTACTCAAAAAAAATTCTTTAATTCTTGTCAAACATTTTTTTAACAAAAAAGTGTGATGTTTAGAAAAAAAAAATTACATGGCAACAATTCTTGTAACAAGCTCGTTGTCTAAAAAAAAATGTGGTAGGTTTCCATTAAAAAAAAAAGTTACTATGTTTATCTCGTAAGTATAAACAATTAATTAATATTCAAATTTATTTTGCATAGCATTTTTATAGCCATTGCACACCTATAAATTTATTTGCCAAAAATTTTGATAGTTTCGCCAAAATTACATCGTTTTTAGACTTTTGGACCAATCTGTATAGTGTTATTAGAGTTAAAAATTTAGTTTTTTGTTATTTTAGTGAGTTAATTTTAAATTTTTGTGAATTAATTTTTCATGTGTTAATTATACAGTGTTTCATTTTTATTGTTAGCTACAAATTTAAATACTTGATAGAATATTTAATTTTAAGACAAAAGTGTTTCGAGAAATGCTATGAAAATTGACCAAAATCTCGACAAAAATCCAAAAAAATTTCAACTTTAAAATTGATCCATTTAACGTTTTTTGCTAAAGACTCAAAAAAGTCCATAAAACGATATTGGGTCAGGTCAGGTCACGTCAGGTTGTTGTTTTGTAATTCTTACTTCTTATTTAATAAAAACTGACACTTTTTTGGATTGTTTTATTTCAAATTTAATTTCTTTTTTTTTCGAGTCCAATTAATTAGCGAGCAAAATAATGTGTGTTATTATTGCGCAAAATTCGGGCATCGAAAGTTGAAAGACTGGTCGCGAGATGAGCATTTTCAGAATGTATTTTTCAGGTCAACTAACAGTTTTCGTATAGTTTGAATTTTGATTAACTTGAGTCTGGACCAGTGTGCTATGGAAGCTCCGACTTTAACAATAGCACAAATTTGCATCGACATTTTTATCCTCATAATCGGTGAGTAAAAAATCCTGAAATTTTTTTCAATTTTTTTCAGTCGGTTCTCCTATTGTTTTAATCCGAAAAATGGGTAAAATCCACGAGAGGGGATTTTTCTGCAACGATGAAACTATCATGCATCCAATACCACAACAATCAACAATTAATAATAAATATTTTCATTTAGTWGGAAACCTRCTTGCCGTTTTTATCGTACGTATTGATAATTTTTATWTTTTTTTGTAATTTCAGTTTTTCAGATTATTTCAGTCGAATTAATAAAGCGCCAAGAGAGGGTGAAATTCTGGTCACACCTCTACCAAATTCTCCTCTCTTTTATTTTAGGTCTTTTGGCCACAATTTTGCTCACTACCATTTTCAAGGGCTCAATTGGGCGTCTCCGCCCTTATTTTTTCAACTCCTGTCTCCCAAACATCAATTGTTCGTTGCCCCAAAACCACCACATTTACCACACTGTCTTTATTTGTACCAACGAAAATTATAAGAAAAACAGCCGGTGAGTTTTTTTATTCGAATTCAATTAAGCAAAAATCCCCTCAGACTGTCTTTCCCATCAGGGCATTCGAGTTACGCAATGTTTTGTGGCCTTTTTCTCGCAATTTATTTACACAAAAGGATCAAAAAATACAAGTTGGTCACAAGTGGCCTTCAAATTGCCTTATTCGGGCTTGTTTTTTACACAGGGTGTACCAGAATTTTTGAATATCATCATCATTGGAGTGACGTTGTTGCCGGTTTCCTCATAGGGGCCGTTTGTGCCATTTTTGTAACTCTCAATTTGTTCAAAACGCTTGATTTGGAAAAAACTAGTTTTGAGTTTGAATGTGGCGCCATGTAAACTAGTAGTTCCAATGTTAATCTTGTCCTTTTACCAATCTTTAAACATTGTTACAATGTACAAATAACTAACACAATAATAAAATATGTAATTTGTTTTGTTACAATAATAAAAAATTATAAACTTAATAAAAATGCAAACTTACACTTACTAATTTTATTTGAACTAAAATTTAAAAAAATTATTATTTAATAAACGTAACCTAAATGTAACTACTGCGTATACAGACTTTAATTTTAATGCAATTCAATTAGTAATTTAATAAAAAAAAACAATTTTTTCCTAATTGTTACACAAAACCTACTGAATTAAACTACCCACTACTCGAGTAGCTTAAACGTTCAACTAACGCGTTTCTTGTTTTTCCATTAAAAACGTTTTTTTCGTGTAATGTAGTGACCTAAAACGTTATTTTTGCCCAAATTGGTCATACTTTATCTAGTTTGGGTGTTTAAAGTGTGTAAAAAATCCCAAAATTGTGAAAAATGGTAAGTAAAAAAGTGTGGTTATGTCAACTTTTAATAATTGTTTCAGGACCCCAATGTGCCGCCCCCGACGTTTCCGCCGCCGGGTATGGGTACCCCACCGTTGATGGGTTTCCAGCCCCTCATTCCCCCATTCAGTGTCCCCCCTCCCGGTTTTGGGGCTTTCCCTCCACCCCCAAACCCTTTGGAACAATGGACGGAACACAAAGCCCCCGATGGTCGCACTTACTATTATAATTCTATAACGAAACAGAGTTCGTGGCAAAAACCCGATCAATTGAAAACACCAACTGAGGTTTGGGGTTTTGGGGTACCAACATGGGGGCTAAATTTGTGTTTTTAGTTGATGTTATCGCAATGTCCGTGGAAGGAGTACGTGGCGGATAATGGTAAAGTGTATTATCACAATGTCACCACGAAGGAATCGCGGTGGGTCATGCCCCCCGAATTGGAGGAAATTAAGAAAAAAATCGCAGCGGAGGAGTAAGTTTCATGTTGGAGTTTTTGACTTATTATTTTTGTAGGGGTAAGGGCGTGTCAGCTGCAGTCACGCCCACCGATGTTTCAAGCCCCGCCCAATTACCAGTTGCACCACCCTCAAATTCAAACTCACCAAGTATTGCGTCAGTTGCTAGTCCTGGTGGGGGGAAAAGTGCGTTAGAGTCTTCCATGGCTGCCACTCTAGCGGCAATAAGTCTTCCAAATCCAACCAAAACAGGTTTTTTATCATTTGTATGAAAAAAAATATATATAATAATTTTTGTAGAAGAAGAAGCACCGGCGATTCCAAGTGAGGCCCCCAAAGAGCCCCCAAAACCGGCCCCTGAGCCGGTGAAGGTTTTCAAAGACAAGAAGGAGGCAATGGAGGCGTTTAAAGAATTACTTAAAAGTAAAAATGTTCCATCGAATGCTAGTTGGGAACAGTGTGTCAAAATCATCTCAAATGATCCCAGATATGAGACTTTTAAGAAATTAAATGAGAAAAAACAAGTGTTTAATGCGTATAAAACACAAAAACAGAAAGATGAAAAAGAGGAAAGTCGACTAAAAGCGAAGAAATCGAAAGAACAATTGGAGGAGTTTTTACTAAATTGTGATAAAATCACCTCAGCGACCAAGTATTACAAGTGTGATGAATTGTTTGCCCATTTGGAGGTAAAAAAATTATTTTTATTTTCATTGCCAATGGCGTAAACAAATTTCTGATGTAACCACAAAAGATTTGCTGAAATGAGCGAAAAAGCGAAAATTGTCTCTTTTTTTTTGTAATTTGATTTTTTTCTTGTTTAGTAAAATTTCTGAAAAAAATTGACTTTTTGATAAACGTGCTTAAACTCTTAAAAATGACAAAACAACATCAACGAAATTTTACGAAATTATTGCGTTTTTACTCTGAAAAACGTTTGAAAACTTTCTAAAAAGGCAAAAAAGTGTCTCATTTTTGACTTAATTTCATGTTTTTTTTTTCTGAAACATTCTGAAAAAACAGTCGTTTCTGACTGAAAAACGTTTGAAAATTCCACAAACAAAGGCAAATATGTGTTATTTTGACTTAATTTGGTGACTTTTTTCAGCTTGTTTATAACAAAATAATTGCATTTTTTGCCGAAAAACATGCTGAAATGCAAAATTTCAGAAAAAAAATTGAGTTTCTAGTTTATGAACATGCTTAATAGAATTTCAAAAATGAAAAAAATTACATTAATTTGTGTATTGTTTTTAAAAAAATTTTGCGAAATTATTGCGTTTCTATCTGAGGAAGCTTTTGAAAATCCCCGAAAAAGCCAAATATTTCGTTATTTGGACCTAACTTAGTGATTTTTTCAGCTTATTTTCGAAATAATTGCATTTTCTTAAAAAAAACGTGCTAAAGAGCAAAAATTTTCTCATTTTTGACCTAATTTGATGATTTTTTTCTTGTTTAGTAAAATTTCAGAAAAAAAAATTGAGTTTCTTGTTCATATACGTGCTTAAACTCTTAAAAATGACAAAACAACATCAAAAGAATAATTTATGTATAGTTTCTAACGAAATTTTACGAAATTATTGTGTTTTTACGCTGAAAAACGTTTGCAAACTTTCTAAAAGGTAGAAAAGTGTCTCATTTTTGACTTAATTTCATTATTTTTGAATTTTTTATGAAACAATCAGAAAAAATTGTCGTTTCTTAGTGAAAAACGTTTCAAAATTCCAAAAAAAAAGAATGTGTTATTTTGACTTAATTTGGTGATTTTTTCAGCTTGTTTTTGGCAAAATAATTAAATTTTTTGTTGAAAAAAAAATCATTTACCAATTGTTTTAATAATAAAACAAAAGAATACAAATACAAACATAATTCTTACAATTCTTACATAAAACATAAACAAATACAAACACAAAACTTGATATGAGACTTTTAAGAAATTAAATGAGAAAAAAAACAAGTGTGATGAGTTTGTTTGCCCATTTGGAGGTAAAAAAAAAATTTTTTTCATTGCCAATGGCGTAAACAAATTTCTGTAACCACAAAAAATTTGTACACTCATTTGGTTACGAAAAATAATCGATTTTTTGCCAGGTGTGGAGTTGTGTGAGCGACTCCGACCGCCGCGACATCTACGAAGACGTGGTTTTCGCCCTCGCTAAACGGGAGAAAGAGGAAGGAAAAGTTTTAAAAAAACGCAATATGAAAAAACTCGCTGAAGTTTTAGACAGTATGACAAAAATCAACTATGATACGACATGGAGTGAAGCTCAGGTTCTCCTCCTCGCTAACAACGCCTTCAAAAACGACGTTAACCTCCTCGCCATGGACAAAGAGGACGCTCTTATCGTCTTCGAGGAGCACATCCGTGTCCTAGAGAAAGAAAACGTCGAGGAGAAAGAACGCGAAAAAAAACGCCAAAAACGGCAATGTCGCAAAAACCGGGACCAATTTTTGGCCCTTTTGGACCACTTACACGAAGAGGGAAAATTGACATCGATGTCACTTTGGGTCGAATTGTATCCAATCATATCAGCCGATATACGATTCTCCGCCATGTTGGGTAAGCGAGTCACGTGGTGTAGTGGGGGGTGGTCACATGACGGTTTCTAGGACAACACGGATCAACACCACTTGATTTATTCAAGTTTTATGTCGAGGATCTCAAAGCACGCTTTCATGACGAGAAAAAAATCATCAAAGAAATATTAAAAGAGAAGAATTTTGAGGTTAGAGTTGATACGACTTTTGATCAGTTTGCAACTGTCATTTGTGAGGATAAGAAAAGTGCGACATTAGACGCCGGAAATGTCAAATTGACGTATAATTCGTTATTGGAGAAGGTTAATTGACATTTGACAGCTGTCAAATTAATCATGGCAACTTGATTGTTTCAGGCCGAGGCCCGGGAGAAGGAACGACTCAAAGAGGAGTCAAAACGTATGAAAAAATTAGAATTGAATTTTAAAAATCTCTTACGTGAGATGAATATTGATTTCGAGTTGAGTTGGGATGAAGTGAGGTCGAAAATTGAGAATGAGGACGAGTATCAAGCTTTTGCGTGCGAAAATGACCGAATTAAGATTTACAAGGTTGGTATTATTGTGGGTACCAACTTGTAAAATGTGAAAATTCCTAGGATTTCCAACACGAGATGGAGGAGTCGTGCAGTCACCACCACTCCCGTTCCAAGAAATCGAAGAAGAAGAAAAGTAAAAAGTACAAATCGTCGAGTAGCGAGTCGGAAAGTGAGAAGAAGAAGAAACGTCGATCGAGGAGTGAGTCGAATTCGGATGATAGCGAAGAGGAGTACAGGAAGAAGAAATCGAAGAAGAAGCACAAGAGAAAAAGCCCTTCTGTGAGTTTTCACTGACTGTCTTTTATTTTTTTCTTTGTAATTTAATAATTTTCATTGACTGATTGATTAATGGCATGTAAATATTGTCTCAATTAAAAGTTTTTAGATTTGATTTTGATTTTTGATTTTTGGACAGAGGACACCATCAGTGGACAAACACGTTAGTCGTAGACCGTCAGAGGGCAAGAGTGGTGAATTGAGTGAATCTGAATTAGAGAAACAGAGGGCGCTGTTGTTAGCCCAATTAAAAGAGCCTGAAAGCGAGTAGGTTGTGGGTGAAATAACGCCATTTGTGTAGAATTTGTGTATTTTTTCACTTAAATTACGTAAAATAGAGAATTTATGTTACAGAAATGCCTTTTCTTGTAAAAATAAATGTAAAATTGATAAAATTCGATTCATTAAATGGCACTTAAAGTAAACTAAATACGTATTTTATTGCTAATGATAAGAACATGGATATTGTGGAGCGTTTAACTACTATTTACAGGTTATACAATAAATATTTGGTAAATTAGAGACAGTCTAACCGAACTGTGATGCAAAGAATACAAAACTGAATTATTTTAAACCCACCTTAACCGGTTATCTTATTTAAATAGTATTATTTAAACAATTGAGCAAACCTATCGGCGGTGGCCGCGCCCATTCATCTGGGGGGCCACAATCACGGGACCGGGGGGGCCCCCTCGGGCCTCGTACATGGTACGGGGCACCTCCGAGCGCTCCAACTCATCGCCGGACAGGTCCAAGTCCTGGACCATCTGCATGATTTCGCGCTCCTTCTTCAAATCCTCGCGGTCCTCCACCTGCAACAGGGAGCTTCCTTACCGACATTGACACAAAAGAAATCTTTTTTACCGACAATGTCATCAAATTTGGCAAAATTTAAATATTGTCGTATCAACAAGAAATTACTGCCTAGGATTTAGGGACATTTGTGAACAGGTTGCCTAGGTTCGTTTTTGGTGACAAACAAAAATTTAGGTTAAGCCACCTGTCAGCTTGTTGATAGTAAACGTCAACCGTCAACAACAACCCTAAGAATTACAAAAAATTCTAGTTACAAAACGTAATATTCCCAGTGATGCCAGATTAAGGAATTTTTCCCTAGTTCTAGGGATTTTTTTTACAAAAAGGGATTTTTTTCAATATTTTTCAAAATTCTAGGGATTTTTGTAATTTGCAATAAAAACCTAAAAATTTTTGTAAAATATTTGCGCAGCTTTGATTTTTAAATACTTAAAAAAATACTTGCGAAGAATTCTGTCTAAAAAAAGTAATCTAATTTGTTACGATATAATAACTATGTATTACCCAAATTATTTTTTATAATAAGTATAATTAATTTTTTTAAATTTAAAACTAATGCAATCACAGAATTTATATAAACAAAAATTAATTACCTATAACTTACGTTATAACAACAGAATTTGTTTTAATATATTTTTATATTGTTTTTAAAAGAATTTAGAGATACTAATTTATTGTTTTAGTCTATTGATTTTTTGTTATTTTTTACACATTTTTATGTTTTACGTTTATTTGTTTCAATAAAATTCATTTATAAAAAAAAGTAGTTTTTTTTCTTTAGCTTAGGGAATTCTAGGGAATTTTGACTCTACAATCTAGGGACAAGCGCTTGTGTTATTTTTGCCATTTTAAAATTACGCACATTTATAAACTAGAAACAGATTTTTTTTGAAATTGTACTTAACAGACACAAAAGTCATGAAATTAGTTCGAAAATAAAACAATTTTTGATTTTTATGGTCATTTCAGCATGTTTTTCAACAAAAAAATCAATTATTTTGACAAAAACAAGCTAAAAAGTCACCAAATTAAGTCAAAATAACACATATTTGCCTTTTTTTCAGAATGTTTAATAAAAAATCATGAAATTAAGTCAAAAATGAGACACTTTTTTGCTTTTTCGAACGTTTTCAAACGTTTTTCAGAGTAAAAACGCAATAATTTCGTTAAAAACAATACATAAATTATTCTTTTGATGTTGTTGTGTCATTTTTGGGAGTTTAAGCACGTTTATGAACAAGAAACTAATTTTTTTCGAAATCCTGCTAAACAGACACAAAAATCACGAAATTGTGCCCAAAATGAGACAAGTTTTGCTTTTTTGCGCTCATTTCAGCATGTTTTTCAGCAAAAAAATGCAGTCAGAAACGACAATTTTTTCAGAATGTTTCATAAAAAATAAAAAAATCTCAAAAATGAGACACTTTTTTGCCTTTTTAGAAAGTTTTTAAACATTTTTCAAAGTAAAAAGACAATGATTTCGTAAAATTTCGTAAAAAGCTATACATAAATTATTCTTCTGACGTTTTTTTTTTTGTCATTTAAGCACGTTTATGAACACGAAACTCATTTTTTTTTCTGAAATTTTGCCAAACAGACACAAAAATCATAAAATTAGATCGAAAATGAGACAATTCTTGCTTTTTTCGGTTATTTCAGCATGTTTTTCAGTAAAAAATGCAATTATTTTGCCCAAAAACAAGCTGAAAAATGTGAAATTTTCAAACGTTTTTCAGTCAGAAACGACATTTTTTTCAGAACGTTTCATATAAAAAAAACGTTTCATAATTCAAAAATCATGAAGTTAAGTCAAAAATGAGACATTTTTTCGCCTTTCTCGGATGTTTTAACACGTTTTAAAGTAGAAACGCAATTATTTAACAAAATTTTGTCAAAAATAACACAAAAAAGTCAATTTGATGTTATTCATTCATTTTTTGGGCGTTTCAGAACGTTTTTATGTCAAAAATACAATTATTTCGCAAATTTCATCAAAAATAAGTTAAAAAATTACTAAATCAAGCGGAAACCCTGTTGTTTTTTAACTTTTTGAATGTTTAAGTACGTTGTTGAAGGAAAAACTCAATTTTACGTTTATTAAGTTGAATTTTTTTACTCACATCACCGTTGGGGATGGGCGTGGCGAACTTGAGATTGGCCAATGAGCCGTAACTGCGACTCCTGTGCTCCTGTCTGATGGAGTAGGAGAACGCCCTCTCATTCAAATGTCCCTTTTTCCGGTAAATCCCCGTGTTGAAGGGACTCTCATCGCCTGGGGGCGGTCCTAAATTCGGGTCATCCAATCCATTCATACTTTGTGCCAATTTCTTGTTCAATTTTCCTTTGTCCCGCCTCTTTTGCTTCCCTTGTGACTCCATCGTGGCATAATGTTGCATCAAGTAGGCCTCGTGTGGGAAATTAACCGGTTGGTAACTCGCCACCGGTGATAACGCCCGGTTACTCGGCATATAAATCGGTTCTTCCATGGCATGTTTCGCCTTTTTTTGTTTTTTCGGTATGGTAGTGGGGATAATGACCGGGGCGACGGGGACAAGGGGCGGGGCTATAGGCCTGGCGGGGATGAGCATTTTGCCTCGTGGGCGGTGCGAAAATGTGTTGCCATGGTGTTTGAAGAATTTGGGATTGGGGAGGGTTTGTGGATGGGCGACGATGTAAACAGGTTGGGGTGGGGGTTGTGGGCGGGGCTTAATCATCGTCCCAGCCACGCTATTGGCTTTTCCGTTGGTGAGGGGCGGGTAGAGCTCCTCCCGACTTTGCGATTTTTTCGATTTTTTCTTCTTTTCTTTGATGGGGGGAGGGGGGACGGCGACTGGTTGGGCGATTTGGCGGGGCCGCGAGGGGCGGGATATAGTCGAGGAGGCGTAAACGTCGTAAATTGTGTCAAGATTGTCTTGAGACCCCGCCCATACTTTATGGTTTTCATCACCGTTGTAGATACTGACGTCATCTTTACCATTACCGATGGTATTGATGGTCATGGTTGATCCTGAGGTCGAACGGGTCATTTTCCATTCTTCCACTTTGTCCTTATTGGAGAGTCTGTCGGAGGCCAAAGTGCCGTAGATACTCCCAGCGGTGTCGACTTGTTTGGCGTAGGAGGAGTCAGCATAGGCGTGGAAACAGCAACGGACGAGCGCATTGGCTGCCACTTCGCGTTTGCAGATGAAGGCGTGGCATTCGAGGACTTTAATTCCGGTGGTTCGGCGGAGTATGGCGGCGAAGAGGGGGGGATGGGTGGGGTTTGGCGCACGGGCGAATGGCGAGTCGAGGGGGAGGAAACGGGGGCTGGGACTGTGCAAAGTGTTTTTCTCGGGGACTAGAACATATCTGAAACAAAATCAACATTTTTTTGCTACCCACGATTTAAATAAAATAAACTAAAATAATTCACAAGCTTTTGTTTGATTTATCACCCTTATAAAAAAATAGCAAGTGGCAAACTTTAATATTTTTATGTATTGTTTATTAAAAATAAAAATATTATGCCATTTTTATGTAAAAATCTTGTGTTAAATCCACTTAATTAAAATTTGACTATAACGCTATCAAAAATGGTTTGATTAAAAAAATCAATTATAGAATTTTTTTTAAGTTGTATTAAAAATTTAACGTATTTAGCCTTCCTAACGCTATATTTACTAGGATTTACACAAAAAATTACCTAAATATGTTTATTGTTCTAAAAAATTAGAATGTAAGAAGTAAAGTAAAATAAAACAATTATAATAAAAAAATTAGCCACGTCGCAATCCTTTAAATATTTTTTTGTAAAATTTATATGTATTAAAAACATTATTTTAAATAACATTTAAACCAAAAAGTTGTTTTGTAAAACATTTTAAATTTTCCTTCGAATTTTTTTAACATGTATATTGTTGATTGCATAACGCACACTAAAAAACAATAAAAAAATAAAATTCAGTGTATTTATGCAAACATTATTATGTAAAAATCTTGTGTTAAATCAATTTAATTAAAATTTAACTATATCACTACCAAAAAAAAAGTTTTATTAAAAAAATCTGTCTTTAGCATTTTTTTTAAAGTTGTGTTGTTGGTTGTATAAGCCATTATAATTT